CCCAGCCCCCACTCTTTTTTGCAGGCTGGTATCTGATCTCAATCTTGCCTGCGCTAGTGCTGGTGATTCCTCTGACAGCTCATTCAGTTGCCCCATCTGCTCCTCTCATGCTAGTTAGTATGCTCCTCACAATCTCACCAGAATTGTCCCTGCTGCATCTTAATCCTGTTACTTCTCTTCCATTGCCTACCTAGAGTAGTTGCCTCCTCCCCAATGACCCTACTGGTAGGGGCAGATGTGTCCTGTCTCTTCAGACCTCTCCCCTCTGGCCCCAGAGTTCCTGAGTCTTTCTGGGATGTTGTTGTACAAAGCCCTGATCCCAGGGACTCTGCAGCTTTTGTTTCTTCCTTGCTTCTTACCATTCATCCCTGAGGAGACAAAGCCTGGGGGAAGGATCAAAACAAGAAGCCATTACCCCTGGGCCAAACAGGCTAAGGTTTTTCTTGAGACTTATCTTCTCTCTGCACAGCCCAGAAGGTATCTCGCAGGTGATTTTGCTCTCCCCTTTGGAAGGGCAGGGAGAGCAGAACAATCTGGAGACTCTCCCCATCCACGCAGAGCAGAGCAGAGCATTCCCCTGTGGTGTGGACAGGTGCCTGCTGGGACCAGGGGGATGGATGGGTGAGCTGTGAACCAGCACAACCTTGCTGGATTTTTTTCCTTCCCTGTTCCACTCATCACTGTCTCCCAAGGCCTGGGGTTTGTTTTCAGTGAGATGCTTGACAGCAGGCTTTCCCCACATAACCTGATGTTATGAGTGAAATGGGACAGGAGCCAGGCCCCATCTCCTCCCAGCACATTGAGTGGATAATATGTCCCTAGGAGAGGGCTGTTTCACACTGTGAGAAAGCTAGAGTGATCTATCTGATGTTTTCTTTTGCTGCCAGCAAAGTCCATGCTCTTTAGAAGAGCCCATCAAGTAAGGTAGGCCCCAATTTTTTGTTCTGCTAATTAAAAGTGATGGGGGAAAGGGAAGGTAGATGGTTTAACCACCTCTCACCTAAATAAATGCGTGCCATCCATTTCTTCACTTTCAGCATATTGGAAGTCTCCCTGTCAGGACTGGATGCCCAAACATTTTGCTGGTACAAGAACAGGGAAGTGAAAGTGGCCAGCCTAGCATTACTGCCTAAGCTCAGTGAAATGCACAGTGTCCCACAAGTCACACAGGTGAGGGGGAAAGTAGATAATATTTCAGAAAGTTCTTCCATGGTTCATACGTGTGGGAGGTGCAGGTAAGCCAGGGGGAAAAATAGTTTTGTGTTGCCACCCCCAGTCATTCAAAAATGATGGATCAGAGAAATGTTCACTATGGACAATCAAAAGGCTGCTATGGGCTTGGTTTGTTAAAAAATCCCTTCTCTCCTAAAATTCCCAGTTCAGAGAAACAGTCCTTTCCTGTCCTTTGTTTCCCAACAAGTGTCTCATCTTTTCCCATGGTTCTGATTAAGCTGCAACAGCATCAGGGGCACAGGGGGATTTGCTCTATTGCCTGGGGAATCTGGAAGGAAAAAGACTGTTGCAAACACACAGCTACAACACCCCTTGGAAAAAAAAGATAAGGTAACAGGCACTCTACATGCGAGCAGCATTTTTATTTTGGTTTCTACTTTCTATTCAGGAGTTGACCCTGTTGGGGTTGCCTGTGGGAATTTGATTGTGTGTGGGTGGGAGGTGTTATTATTTCTGAAAAAGACAAAAGGTTTAATAAACCAAGTCATAGCCGGGTTTCAGGGGCAGTCATGGTAAAATATAGTCCCTCCTATTTAAAGATGCTTCCGGTTATAGTATAATACCTTCATCTTTTTTTGTTTTACTCAAGCTATTCCAATCATATCTCTGGTAACTGCTGTTTAGTTATTACACAGTTTATACTGTACAACCATCCAGTTTAAAACTAGGTCCTACTGCTAATTCTGTGCTGCAGCATAC